TTGGGAACGACCTAGCCAAGGCCTCTTCTGTCGTAAAAATAAGTGTGTGGTTTTTTTTAAGGGGCAGCTGGATTTGCACCCAATTCAATCGCACCCAGTCCATCACAGAAGGCATTGAATCCATTCTGGTCCTCTGCCCATCTCCACAGCCAATGGAAGCAACAGCAGATAATGTCAGCATACTGTATGATTCCATGCAGCACCTCATTTTTAGGGAACAGTTTGTTTTAACACTGTAGCACTGAATCAAGAGTACAAGAAGTTCTCGGCCATCCAAGGCCTTTTACTATTTAAGTTTTTTCAGGGTAAGCAAGTTACGACTGGAGCTTGGAAAAACCTTAAAAATCAACAACACAAAGTCCTACAACTTCCAGAACCCACAGCCAGCATGGGGGATTTTCGGGAGCTATATTCTAAAACATTCTCCCTTCAGCAAAGCATCACGTAGGGCAGTTGCAAGTCAAGGATGCATCAGGAGGACACAGCTGTGTAAGCTCATATTCATTCTCCATAGTTCCAGTATAATATGTTATTACACTGTACAGCCACAGCCACGAGTTTGTAGCCACATCCACTTCTACTAGAATTGTAGAACTGCAGATCTGGAAGAGCCCCTCCTGTTGTCATCAGGTCCAGCCCCACTGTCAACACAGGAAGGTCACACCTAAAGCATGCAGGACAAGGCCATCCAACCTCTGCTCAAATGTTTCCAGTGAATGAGGGTCTACCTTTGTGATTGAGTTCTTTCAAATCTGATGACAGTTCCTCCAATTTGGCGGGAAGGAGAGGTGGAGGTCGATCTAGTTTCAATAATTCTTTCCTTATTAATTTGCATAATTTCGTCATTAGTTACAACTGTGTCCAAACATGATAAATCAGGTAACGGACTATAACTAGACATCAGTGGCTTTCATGAAGATCCACTCTCTTCTTCTACTGCGGGGCTGGACTAAAGTGGTCCTTGTCGGTGATCTGGCGTAATGGGGCACTCCTCATCGTACACACCATCCCATAACAGGGACGTCGTGCCCAATCTCCCTCCTAGGGTGGTAAATTGAAGATTGGATCTGGCCGGATCACTTGTTTCCCTCACCCCTGGCCACGGGGAAATACTATAACTGTCCATTCTTGCATCTCATATATCATTTCTCCTTTCCTAGGGAGATCAGGATCAGGAAGCAATCCTCCTCCTACCTTCAGATTAGGAAAATCCCTCAAGAGATCACACGCCTTGTCATACTGCCCTGCTTGCTCCTCTGTTCCTACTTTCACCTCCTTCTTAACTGACTCCTTCTTCCCAACAACTACCCTGAATCTCCGTTCTCCCCTCCCTTTTATCTCCTCCTCCCACAGTGATAAATCTAGGTCTTCCCCTTTTCCTGCTGCTAAGCAGATTTCTATGTTGCCTTTCTTCTCTTCTGTCACTCCCTCCAAAACTATCTCTGTCTTTTCGGTTGAGGATGGCACACTTGCTGTCTGCTCTCCTTCATAACCATCCTCCTAGGCCACTGATTCCATAGTTAAATGGCTGTAATACAACTTCATTATTCTGGGGTGGTTTTGCCATCTGTCTGAAAAAGGTTGTTCTTCTGACTCTTAAATAGTGAAAGAGACATTTATTTCTTCTGAGAAGGCACCAGAATTTTTAAATGCAAATTCTGGCCACTACCAGGTCTGTATTCTGGTTAAAAGTGGTGGTGTTGTGAATAAACTATAGATTTAAGTATTTGTACTCCAAGGTAAATCCCACTGTATTTAATGGAACTTGCTCCCAAATAATTGTGCATAAGAAAAGACAGTAGAAGAACCGAAGGCTTGATCAGGGTCTATGGAAATCTGGCAGTCGGAATGGAACTTTACTCCCATCTAGTTAAATCCTGTGAGGCCAGGTTTATTAAAAGATTTTATTTTCATTGTTGATGTCTTATTTTGCTGAGCCAGATTATATTTCGCGTTCGTTTTTCCCAACAGTGAACTGACTGAGACCTCACTCCATTTGTTCAGATCACAGTCGGCTGCTGCACACTCTAAAATTAAAAGCACTGCTCAAAGATTAGGGACCAAGGAACACTGAATCAAACATGGTCAGCTTTCTTCTATGCCAGACCCTTACTCTAGGAACGTCATTTTTTCCTCACTAACCCCTACAGAAAACCCAGACATACTGCCCAATTAGATTGACATTTTTGCCAATTTAAGTGCTGTCATCATTGGTGAATCATTTTCATATTGTTGCCCGATTCATGGATACCTATCATATGTTAAGACAAATGCGTATTTCCTCATATTATTGCTCCAGACATGCTTCTCTTGCAGTGCTATGTGCCTCAGACACCAAACGTGTAAATCAAACCATGTTATTTCTTAAATGACCAGTTCTAAAACAAAAAAATACTGATTTGCTAAACATGGACTTAAATAACTGTGTAATAAAATAGTCTTTTCCTTTTTAGTGTGCACTGCTTTTAGACAGCATCTCATCTAGTCTAGTTCCAAGTGATTACACGGCTGTATTTTCTGCAAAGTCCTGAGCTTTTGCAGATCTGAGCAGTATACAGGTATATTGACAATATAAAATACAAATTAATAGCAAGGCAGATCTATCTCTCCTTTAATCCATCTGCAACGGGTGCTAATCCAGCCCCTTGAGCGCTTCCTGGACGAAGATGAACACATTGAAACTGAATCCAGACAAGATGGGGATCTTTGGGGGCAGGAGGTCATTTACCTGCCTGGGGAAAATCTCCCATAAACTAGATGGATTAATCCTCCCCTTTAAGGATCATTTGACCATATTTCCCCAATATTGGTATGCTTGCACTGTTCACCAGTCTGCTTCAAGGTTCTGGTAATAATGTGTAAGGCCCTAAATGGGACATTACTACCTGTCAGAATGTCTTCTTCCAAATTCTGCTATCCATTTTACCTGGTCTTCGCAGACCTCAGGACTGCAAGTACCAACCCCAAGAGAATCCTGTAAGTCGTCCATAAGGAATTGGGCTTTCTTGACAGTCACTCCCTCCATCTGTAATGCCCCCCCCCGGCAGGAAATACACCAGGCTCCCTCCCTTTGGACGTTTAAGGAACTCCTAAAAATCTAGCTCTTCAGGGAAGCTTTTTGGGTCGCCTTCTTTAGTTAAAGGAAAGAGGAGGAAAGAAGAAAAGGTAAGAAAAAAACGGAACACCTTAATGTTATTGTTAATTTTACTTCTGCTCATCCTGATGCATTGTAGCTGTAGTTATTGACGGTTACATTGTTTCAGTTATAGTTTTTCTGATTCTAATTTAATATATTTTTGTCTACTCTTATCAATTGCTCAGAGTAATGGTTCCAGTGGATGAATGGTATAAACATACAAACAAATAAACAAAACAATCATAACAAAATCAACAGCGAGGGTCAAAAACAAAGTGGGACACAATAAAATCAAATTAGCACCAGCAGAAGTAGTGAATTCTTCCTTAATGATTCATGAATCATTTAGTGTCTCTTCTCCACAACGTTTATTTCATAGGTTTTTTTTTAACATAATGGCTCTTAATAGATCTGACCAGGAAATTTCAAGTAGTTTTTAGCTGTATATTTTGTGGACTCTATGAGTGAAGGAGGAAACTGGCCCCATTTTTGCTGCCATTTTATGTTTACCCTCATCTATTTTGTAGTTACTGACAGTACCATTGGTGAACACTAACTGACAGAAAGGAAAACTGTTAACTAGCTTGTAACTATTGGTAACAGTACTGGTTGTTGTGGGGTTTTCAGGCTCTTTGGCTGTGTTCTGAAGGTTGTTCTTCCTAACGTTTCACCAGTCTCTGTGGCCGGCATCTTCAGAGGACAGCACTCTGTGCTCTGGTGTAGTTGGCGTTGGGAGTGCGGTATTTATGACTGTGAGATAGGCTTTTGTCTTTTTTCTGTAGATGGGTGATTAGTGTGTATTGTTGTGGGTGTATTGTTCTGCTAAGGAGAAGAGATTATCTGTTCCTGAGGTTGATGGGTGTCATTAGCTGGTCTTTTGTGTGTAGTGATCCCCTGTCCTTATGGCTGGGCAGAGGTCGTTGACCTTTTGCACACTGTATTTTTGAGAGCTGGGAGCCAAGGTTTTTTGAGGTTCAAACTTTTCTCTTTTCTGTTGAAGTTTTGCTGGTGCTTGTGGATTTCAATGGCTTCCCTGTGCAGTCTGACGTAATGATTGCTGGTGTTGTCCAGTATTTCAGTATTTTGGAATAGAATTTCATGCCTAGTTTGTTTCAGGGCATGTTCAGCTACTGCAGATTTTTCTGGCTGTTTTAGTCTGCAGTGTCTCTCATGTTCTTTGATTCTGGTGTGGATGCTTCATTTTACCACAAAACCTTTGCTCCCACCTCCCCAAATCAACAAAAAGTCTTTCCAAATGAGATTGCCTGTGAAGTAGGGCACCATTCAGGAGTGCTATTCTTATGGATTAATGAAAGAGGCAGTTATCAAATCAATCAGCTACAATGAACAGGAAGCAATACAAAATGGTAGAAGTTAATAAGTAGCATCAGGCTTCGAATTTATCATTTAAAATTATACATAAACTTTGATCCAGTGAATTATAAGCAAACAAATGTTATAGAAGTATCTTGACCATGAAGAATACTACTCCTAGATAGTATAATATAAGGATTCCTCAAATTGTTTTGGCTAAATTATGAGAATATGTCATGGTGCTCCCACAAAAATGGCTGCCTTAAATGTCAAGAACTGAGGATTTTGCCAATTCATAAAATGTCTGTCATGGATGACCAGTTGTTTTAAAAAGTAACCTGCCCAAGCAGCTACATACAAGACAAAGACAGAGTCTATGAATTCCTAAAGTGAAGATCATTCTTTTGAAATCATTGCTTGGAAACTCATTTCATAGAAGACAAAGTGACAAAACTCAGAAAAACACACCCTCACAACCAGATATTTCAGGATTTGTTTTACCATTAAGTAGAATCAACTGGTTGCCACAGACAGATGGTTAGGGGGCAAATTGATCTATGTCATACTTTTTTTGTAAGGAAAGAGGAGTGGTAATTTTAGAGTTTTCTTTATCAGGTGCCAAAATAATTTGACTGGTCTTGATTACTCCCTGCAGGGCAGGGAGGGATGTTCTGCTGTGTGTCAGCCACTACAGTGTCTTCAGCTGATCCTGATAGGGGCACAGATTAGAAGAAGAAGAAGAAGAAGAAGAAGAAGAAGAAGAAGAAGAAGAAGAAGAAGAAGAAGAAGAAGAAGAAGAAGAAGAAGAAGAAGAAGAAGAAGAAGAAGAAGAAGAAATGCATAAGCTTGCAAAATATAAACGTACCGTACAAGAAATCCACCAAATATCTTTTACAAACAATAACTGTGTAAGAAGACAGTAGAGCTCTTTACTACTGTTTCCCTAAAATGTTGTGTTCCATGATAAAGATGGAAAACTAAATCCAATGAAGTGAATTTTCAAGCAAATGAATTTTTTTACTGTGTATATTGTCAGATATCTAGTCCAAATTTCAGTTTTCTTTATAACTCTTGCATCAGTCAGACAGGAGAGTGTGCATGTGTATGTACACACACACCTGTTGTAGGAGATCTTGGCCCTGAGCATTTGTTGGTGGAGGAAGAAAATGACTGGTTTTCCTTCCCTCCCCCCTTATGGAATTTCCTCATCTGCTTTAGAATGCAACAGAACTAGTGTGAAAAAGCCCAAACAGTTGTGTCTGTGGGAGAGTTGAACCCCTCCACTCCCTTATCAACATTCCTACAGACACAATTGTCTGGTTGCAGACTCTCAGCTTGTGAGAAATTTCACGGAGGAGGGGGGGAAATCACTGGGATAAGGGTATTGAGAAGTTGGGGTACATGCTCCATGGGTGTGGATCTCCAGTTTCATTTCTCCACAAGGTATATGTCTGGTGGAAACCAGCAAAGGTCAAGATGCCCCAAGATCCACCTGCTAGGAGCTACACTGCCATGACTGTTGCCGCAGTGCCAAAATTTAGCAGGCAGCAGTGGGGGGAAAGGCTATTTAAATCTTTTAAGAAATCTTTTAATTTCCATGTTGAAACCAGGTATGAAGAGTACACCTTGTTTAGAAGGCAGTTAGCATATCCACCTGTTTGATAGTCCTGGCTAGTCAGCAGACCAAAGTCTTGTTTTCCTTTTGGTTTTTTGGTCAATCTACTAAAGCTCAGGTTTGGATGCTATCACTGCTGAAGCAGCGTTGTAAAGAAGAGTGGACCAAAGCTCCTTCATAATGATGTGAGAGACTGATAAAGATATATAGAAAACAATTATTTTAAGTTATTGCTGCTAAAGGTGGTTCTACAAGTTATTGAATCATAAGGTATACTTAGTTTTTCACACATGACTTCTCCATTTTGACTTTACTGTATTCTTGTAAAATGAATCATGCTATGGTGTAATATGTCATGTGTTGTTGTTCAACAGAGATTGTATTTAACTAATTTTCAGACCTACTAAGGACCAAGCGATTTTTATTCGTAAAACCATAGAATTCAAAGAATACTGTATATACTTTCTTTTTCACATGACTGTATGTGGTTGTTAAGTGAATGCCCAGATTCATATACCTATCTACTTGATCTATATGTGAGGTCTATATGTGATTGCTCCCCATCCCCTCATAGCTTACGAAAATGATATAGTCATGTTTTTAACATATTCCTCAAGTCCCTGCACTTTCCTGAGATTGTCTCATGAATACCACTGCATTCTCAAGGTCATGCTGATGTGTAGCTCAGGTTGTGTGAGAAAAAGCAGGAATGACACATAAAGCTAGGGGGCCATTTTCTGACAACCTCATTTTGTGGGTGTCTCCATAGCACTGATTAAAAAAAATAGTAAACATGCCCACAAGCTTTAAAAAATTAGGAACATTGTGCTAGTCTTAATAACATCAGAAAGAATACAAAGGTTACTGCACACCTAGAAAATTCTACAGGTAAATTTACATTTGAGGGACTGGCTCCTACTCTAGGATATTAAAAGGGAAGTAGTTTAACCAGTGTCCTCGTATGAGTGTTGCCCACTGATGAAATCTTACCAGATTCCTTCAAACTTTCTCCAGAATATTTCCTTAAAGTTTTGGAGAGTTCCCACTCACATTTCTTATTCTGAAACTTTACATTTCATATTTCAAAATGTCCCATATTTGGACTATATTGGATAGCAAGTGGCATATATTCCACAACCACTCATTGTGAACAATCTCTATGGCCAGTGAATAACCACGCTTGCCAGAAATATACATTCTCTTAGGACAGTTTGTTCACTAAACTATTAGAAATGTGTTGACTAATAATTCTAAAATTATTTTTTTTTCATAGTCATTTTTCTTAATGGGAGTGTTTTCCAGATGTTGCTGTCTAGTCTTCTGGGATGATGTCCAAAAGATGTGGAAAATTTGCTGTCATGGGTTGTCACAGCTAGTTTTGTCTAACATGCTGCCTAATTAGTTCATCTCAATATATTCTCACCAATATATAAGGATGTGGAGAATCACTGCTACCAGAAATAACCATTGGAGGGTAAGTGCAATACTGGCGTGAGTGCAGAGAACTTTGTTCAAAGGATTTCCATCTTGTAATGATAGTCTAGAATAACATTTAATTCAAGAGTCTGCAAAATAGATATATGAAACAGAGCAAGACTCTTATTTTTTTTTAAAAGGTTAAATAACTATTAGTTGTAGATTGTTTATCTATTTTTGGAATAGATACAGTATTTCTGGAAAAACGTAACGGTGGTTTCCTTTTGTAAAAGAGCTGGCTTTAAAAAAAATAACAGGGAAGATAAAATTTAATAAAAATAATTAATATATGCTTTTGGGGACAGAAATAATTTTGTTGAATACACACAGGAAGCCTTTAAATTGCTCCATATTGTAAACACTATATTATATGTTATTGTGAGTAATATACTGTATGAGTTTTATTTTTTTATATGAGAAAATGAATTGTGAAATATAAAAATAATTGAAGGTAATAAGAGGCTAAATACATTTTAGAATTCATTTAAGAGTTTGTGTATGTGTGTGTGTTGGGGTTATGTCTGTATGTATCCATTAATATCTTTAAAAATTGTTAGAAGTGGGTGAACAAATGCTATGAATTTTAGATATTTTTCATTTTATAGAATTGAAAGTCTTTAATTATGTGTGCAAATTATTATTTATGATTTTCTGTGCACTTGTCCTACATATTCTTTGTAGTTGAATATGATCTGTCTGTCTGTCTGTCTGTGAACGATACTTTAACGGTACAAAATTAAATTCTACATAATATACACATGAATATTTTGCTGAAATATGTTTGGATTCCAAAATAATGATCCCAAAATATAATGAACCCTGTAATGAAAAAAAATATTTTTATTTTGTTTAAGGAAAGACACAACCCCAACAACTCACCATGGCATGGAATATATATTGGACCTCCCTACTTTTGCTTTCAGTTTTTCTGGCACAGCAAGTTTCTTCACAAGGTACTGTAAATTTTCAAAACAAACAAACTGTTGAAAAAACAAAACCATAAAAATATATTATCTGGATCCATACAACGGCAGTTAAGTTCATAGCATAGGGCAAGTGAAGTCTTTTGATTTGTTAAATAAAACTACACCTAGCCAGCTCTAGCTTGCATTTTTTGGTTTGCACGGTGATTTATTCAAGAAGACAATGCTTCTTGCGGTTCTTCTGCCTTCTGAGTGTAACTACGCGTTACATTGAGGCCATCACATTCTGAATCATTCGGGAGAGAGGGGAGGACTGCATGGAAAACAATAACATAATGGTCCTTCCCCTGCTTCATGTACTTCCAAATGTGATGGCATGAAGATCAGTTGCCACTAGAAGGCTATTTCTAGGTGCTTCAATATCAGGGATCTGATACCCTACTTATACTACTTGGTCTTTTCCCTAGGATGGTTTTCATGCCCTGTAAACCACTCCATTACTTTAAACTACATTATACTACACCTCCCAGCATTCTTCTCAATTAGCTATCTGCTTGGGGCTGCTGGGAGTTGCACTCCAACATCTAGAGGTCCATCTTTCTTCACTCTTGTCTTAAACCCTAGGCATGAATGACCTCCATAACCTATATGAGCTGTATGCTGTGGTAACAGAGGTAACAGAAATAAGATTTAAATAAAAATACCTCCCCAGTAATGTATGTTAAATGATAAATATGTCCTTGCTTTCAAAGCAAACAGACTTTTGGTCCAGAAGAGCCTTCTGGAAACAGAAATGCAAATAATATTTTATGGTTCCCCTACCTCTGGCAGATGCCTGTCCTTCTTGCTTTGAATTTGAGGAATTTTTCCTCCCAGCAGAAATTTTTCCTCCCAGCAGAAACCATTACCCTAGGAGAGAAACAGTCATTATAGTCACTAGAGCTGAAGCACATTAGTGTTGGAGAAATGTTGCTGAGGCTGCTTTTGTGTCAGAGAACTCATACTTCAGAAGAATTCCACCATTTAGTATTGAAGATAGACCACAACACAAAGCAAGCTGGTGCACAGACTGGGAGGCAGGAAAAGCTCCTGGTGTCACACTGATCCAAAACCAGGCTTCAAAGTTATTTCTCATCTAATTATGGAATATCTATGTGAAGTTCTAAAATTTGTTCGATGTTCACATATATGTAAGAATGGTAATAATTCTAGATGCATTTTGTTAGTGTCAAGCATTCCCACACTTTTTCAACATAGATAGGTGAAAGCAAAACAAAATAACAGACCACATAACCCTCAATATTTTCCATTTCACCTAAAATTCATTAAATCTAAGACAATCCCTGAAACCCCTCTAGCATCAGGGAGCCCTTACCTGGTCTGCCAGATTTGGTTAATTACATCTGCCATGGCCGTTGCCTGTTCTCCCTGGGAAGGAGAGGAGATGGGACTTCTGCAACATCCAGAGGACTACTGATCAAACGTTCTTGAGGATGATGACAGTCTAGAGTAAAAATGAGCAGTACAGTAGCTTATATGGATCCAGTGTGATAAACATCCCAAAATAATTGCTAAATTATAAATTGTTAAATTAGGCACATATTAACTTTTTGCTGTGATTTTAAAATTACTCACCTAATTCCTAGTTTGTCTAATATTCGTTATAGTAGACTCACACATATATGTAATACAAAAAATGAGAGCATGATGAAGTTGATGTTAATTACTTTGAAGTACTGTTGAGTTTAAGGAGTGAGTCGAGAATGGCCTTAACTGCATTCACTGAAATCAAAGGTTCTGAAAGTATTCAGCAGTTTCTAATGATTTGTGTATGTAGTTTATTAATTTCTTTAAAAACCTGATCTCCTCCAGCCATAGGGTATTCTGTTTTTTTCTTTCAGAACATTCATGCACAACTTTTTATTTTAAAAAATCCCAAGGCAGTCTGTAATAAAAATCAAGTACATTAAAACCATTATTGATAAAAGTAATAAATAATAGGTAACATAATGAACAATTAAACAAACAAGTAACATAAATAATAAAGAGCAGGTAACATAATTAAAACAACATAATTAATCTTTAAAAATTAATCAAGTACATTAAAACAATTGCTAAAAAGTAATAAAATAATAAGTAGCATAAGGAACACTTAAATAAACAAGTAAGATAAATAATAAAGAACAGGTAACATAATTAAAATAACATAATTAATCTTTAAAAATTAATTAGCATGAGCAGGGTTTCAGGTCCCTAATATTAAAGGAAAATGAATAGAAAAATGATTTAGGAAGGAAAGAAGCATTTTGATAGTGGAAATGCTTCACTTTGGGAGCCTCCCTATACTTAGAGAATATCATTTTACAGTGCCTGCATTCAAATGAAAAAGGCTCTTTTTTGTCTCTAGTGAAAAAGATGTGTCAAATAGGGAATGGTACATGCCATGCAGATGGAAATTATGAATTGCATCTTGCATGTCATATTGTTTATGATTTTTGAGTGACCTACAAGATGTCACAAAATTTTCATGGCTTCTCTGCAGAAAATAAATGTCTGCTCGATGCTTATACAAAGAAACAACGGTATTTTGCAAGATAACTCTGTGTTTCCATTTATATTTTGTATAATGTGATGGTTATATGTGTGTCCACTATGTTTAAAATATTTTTGACTCCCATGTTGTGTGTATGTTATATCTGTTTTTTCTTGTTGTGTTGCAATATTTCCTTTGGCTTGTCCTTTCAATGTTTGGTTTTCCTTGTTCAAAGGGAAGGATGCCTTGATGTATTGAGATCAATAATTTTGTCCCCTTCAATTTAGTTGGCTAAACTTCTAAACCCTCCAACTGCTGTAGTTTTATGTCTTCTTTGTACTCAAAATAAGGCTATTATTGTGACCCTTTCAGGATTTATTTCTGCATGTCTCAGTTGAAACATTTCATTGTTCAATGCCTCACAAAGGGAGATAATAAAATGGGAAGGTTAAGGCAGATTCTCCAATCTGGGGAGTGTTGTAAGCATGATCCACCAAACCTACAGTGGGGTCTTGAGAACTTAATCCGTATTGGAAGGCAGTTCTCAAGTCAAAAAGTCTGTAGGTCAAGTCTCCATTGACC